GAGAGAGAGAGAGAGAGAGAAATACATTCACATGGTAAAAGCGAAGCCTTAGATGCAAAGCAGACAGCAGTCAGAGAGAGCCAGGACCCGACGGCTTTCATTTCGGAGATTGGCACCAGCACAGATGTGACCCAGTCCATCTTCGAGGTTGCGGGCTCCCTGTAGACGGCAGAATGGCGCAGAGGGCCCTCAAACACCCCAACTTTAGGAAATTTCAGGGCCCTGGGTTTGCTGTGCTTGCGGTCTAAGCCTTCTGGGATTTGGGGCTAGGAAGGTTTAGCGCTTCGGGCGTTCAACAGAGGTACATTATAACACAGTTCCACGGCACAAGTTTACGACCGAGACGTTGCGGTGAATTCAAAGAAAAAGGGGCCGTCCTCTAAACCCTGCAGTCAGAGCCCCTATTGCCTATAGACTCCAAGATCTGAAGGCGCCTGTGCCAAGACCGCCCGCAGTAGGAGTTTGTAGGGCGCTGCTTGAAGGTACTCAGAAGATGCTTTAGCTAGGAGCTTGTAGTCAAGGGATGTGTCTAACGTTCTAGGCTCGAAACCCGCCACCAGTGCAGGTTCCTGGACCTACGGACCCGAAACTTGTCGACAACGCCTTGAGTCCTTGAGTCTTTCAGGACATGTGAAACGTCGTAAGCCCGAGCCAACTCCCTGAACTCTTAGCTTAAGGTAAACCTAAGCACGTAAACCCTTGAGGCCGTAACAGCAAACCGCACTATTTCCAGTGCACGCCGTCAAGTCATCCTAAACCTAAAACGCTAAAAAGTCTTGGACTTCGGGAGGTTCGGGGCCTCCTGTCCCTGCTGACGGCCGCAGCAGCGCCCAGCGTTCGCAGCGCCGGCCAGAGCGCTTTCGGCCGGGCCAAGGGTCGTAGTATGTGTATAATATATATATATATATATAGGGCGAGAGATTTATATTATATTGTTGATTCTAACATTTTTGCCATGGCCACGATACAATAGTTGCTATTCCCAGTCTTATTATTGCTCGGGGGCTCTGTAAAGGGCTTCTACATGTATGTGCTTTATAAGATTTTGTGAGTGGCTATGTCGGCTTTTGTGGGGAGTTCAAGTAATATCAGAGGCACCTTACGCAGGGATGCCGCTGGCATTCAGGATCTTGTTTGTTGACGTTTGTCATATGTTCCTTGATTGTATTCGGATATTGCTCTGCAAGGTCTGTGGGTGTGATTATCAGCTTTGGCTGGTTACTATTACATTTGTTAGTGGTAATTGTTATTTTTCGTCGTATTTGTTATTATTGCTATTATCTTATTGCCATTACACAATCATGTATGTTACTGTATGTATAATGCCACAGTGCACATCATAATAGTATAGACGGCTATACCCACCACAGTCCTACATGCCTTGTCAAACTTACACATCGCGTGATCTCTGTGCAGACTTCTTCCACCTCCTCTTCCGGGATAAGATTCTGGATCTCACTGCTGCCTTTCCGGCAACTGCCCGGATCATCGACCCGGAGACAAAGCAGGCGATGAGCCACCTTGTTTTGGTGGGCATGGTGTCGGACTTTACAGGGTTTCTGTAGGGTTTTGAAAAAGAAATATGCTGACAGAAAGTCCTTACATTCGGCTGAATCTCTGGGAGCTTAGTGTCTGTATGACTAGCACTGGCTGGTGTCAATCACTTTAAGTAAGCCTAGAGAAGAGTCCAACTTCTATCGCGCTCCTACACCCCAAACCGCCAAAATCCTGCTCTAAACCCTAAGATAGGAATTAATAGCTAGTTAGAATATGGTTTTTTGGGCCCAGAATACTATACGAATTATTTAGGCCCATACACTAAGTCTTCAGCCGCTCCCGCGGCAACAGGGCCTCCGTGACCTTAGCGAGAAGAGAAGGGCTCCTCCTGCTGCGGGGTGCGTCTTAAACTCTGGCGACGGAAAGAGGGGTTTCAGGGTTTAGGGGTTTAGGGGTTTAGGTTTTAGAGGTTTAGGGGTTTAGGTTTTAGGGGTTGGGGGTTTAGGGGTTTAGGGTTTAAGGTTTGCGGTTGGCAAGGACATCTCGGAGACTGCAGCGGTTGGGGTTTCAGGCGGTTAGGGGTTCAGGGCTTCGAGATTCGGCCTGATTCCCAAAATCATGGCATGTGGGATTTGTGTCGTTCCTTGCACTTCTCCGAATAGATCTTAGCCCTCAGAAGTAGGAGCGGCCTTGGACTCGAAGCGACTCCTACTCTGTTTGCTAGGACCCTTAAAGTAGATCTTATACTTTTACGACCACTGCATCGCTAGCGAAGGCAAGCCAGAGAAGCTCAAACCTCTAAGATTAGCACTTTAGCCGTTTGGCCAACCCTAAATTAAACGCGAAACCCTAAAGTCTACATCCCTAAACTCTAAATCCGAAAGCCCTAAACCCCTACATTCCCGATGCCAGAGTCCAACTCACTTCCCTCGGCCCCCGCCCCTGCAGGACAAGGGTGCCTTCTGGTCGGGACACAAGAGGCCCCTGGCTTGGAGTTACGGGGAAACAGGCTTAAGGGTTTTTTGTCGGCAAGTTAATATGTAAGCTACCAAAGTAAGGGAAGTATAGTAGTTAACCGATAATAAAGCAACCTGCTATAGCAACTGAAGCACTAAGGTCCCGAACAAAACCTAGGCTGAGATCTTTTTGGCTCAGCCTGTTGGGCACAACCGTTTCGTCAAGGCGCACAGAGGATAGGTTGTTGTACGTTTATGTGTGTGTTTGGCAGCGACTGACAGCAGGACATCGCACTGAGGAGAGCAAGAAAAAGATTTTCATCCGTGAGCTCCAGCTCACAAGATTCATGAGTAGCCGAAACTTAGACACCTGACATCAACAGTCAGTACAGGATTTCCCTCAAGCGTGGCAGAGCCAAAGTACTCGTCCACAACAATCATAATTTAATGGTGCTGATACTCGTAGCAACGTGTGAGGGTGCAAGCGTTCTTGTCCTCCATGGCTTGGGAGGTTTCCACAGGCCACAACTTACGACCCCGAGAACGAGACGCACTGGCGGTTCCTGGCGCCTTGCCTTCGAAACGCAGAGAGAGCGAACCCAGATTTAAGGGAAGTCAAAGGCACAACTGCACCTCTCTCTCTAAGTCTATCCAATATGTGTATGTGATTGTATGTGCATATGTGTGTGTATATATATGTTCATATATATATATATGTATGTACGTACGTACGTA